CACCGCGGTTCCGCGCAGCTCAGCTCGGCGCCGGCGGGGGGAACAGCCTGCCGTCCGAGGAGGACCCCACGAGGGGCTCCGAGCCGCAGCCCGTCCCATAACCGGCAGCGGCGGCGAGAGACGGGGAGCGGGGGGGAGGAGGGGGGGGCGGCCTCCGCGCTTCGGGGGCCGCGGGCGGGGGCCGAGGACCGGCCGCTTCCGCCCGGCGCGGCGCATTCCAGCGCCGTGAGTCAGGCGGCGGCTCGGCGGGATGCGCCCCGCGGCCCCGGGCGCTCGCAGCTCCTCGGCGGGGCGCGCACCGCCGAGCCCGGCGCGGCGCCCAGCGGCCATTTGCATGCCGCGGCTGTGAATGGCGTGCCCGGCCGGCCGGCCCCTGGCACGGGGGAGGAGTCTCCGCGCCCTGCTCGGGCCGTGCTCCGCGGCGGCGGCCCCTTAGCCGCACTGGGGCGGCCCGAGTCCGGCGGCTCGCCGAGGCGCTTCCCCGCCTTCCCGGTGAGTGCGGGGTAGGGGGGCGGCGGGGCGGCGGGGCGGCGGGGCGGGGGGCGCCGGGCGAGGGGCGCTGCCCCGGCCCCGCTGCGCACGTGAGTCGCGGGCTCCGTCCCGCTCCGCGGCCCCGCCGCCTCCGCCGCGGCTCGGCAGCCCCCTGCTGGCGGCACCGCCCGGCCCGGTCCCGCGGGCACCCCCGGACTCCCCCCGGACTTCCCCCGGGCTCCGTGCGTCCCGAGCGGCGGCCGCCCGGCGGAGGAACGCCGGCGGGAGAAAGCTCCGCGGTGCGGCGCGCAGGTGCCGGCTCCGAGCGCTGCGGCTGGGCATCTCGTTCTCAGCTCTCGGCCGGCGCCTCTCAAACGGGCACCGAGGCGTCCTCGGGTGCAGCTGTCGGCCTCGGACTGCTGCGGATCTTCGTCCGGTGCCGCATGGGCAGCCCGGTCCCGTCACCTCTCGGAGTCCGACCAAGGGCAGGAGCAGCGGCGCGGGACCCGTTCAACCTTTAGGACTGGGAGTGACAGGGTCTGCAGTGGTGATGCGGGGACCCGGTGACCCTGGCGACCCCGGCGAGTTTGGCTGCAGGGGAAGGAGCGTGTTCATGGCTCGCTTCAGTTGAGCCAGGTCCATGCTTGAAAGGCCCTCCCAGCCCCATCTCGCCATGCGTTCCCACCCACTGCTCCACTGGCACTGGTCGTTGGGCAGCTGCCTCATGAGCCGAGCGGGTTTCGTGGCTTCTGTGAGTTTTCCTCCACATTCAGTCCCACGTTGATTTTTTTCTCACTGAAACGAGGGAATCGCTGTATGAATTGCACCCTGAGAGCCAAGCCCTTTTGGGCTTGTCAGAAAGCCATCCATCCTCTTTCCCGCTTGTAGCATGCACCAAAGGGCCCCCTGAGTGCTTTTTGTCTTGTGCTTTCCTTTCGTGTAACTCGAGTGATGGCAGGGGCACAGATGAAGGTTGCCCAGTGGAACGTTTCCTGTGGTGCTGACTGCTCGTGCTGCTGAATGCTCGTGCTCTCGCAGGTTGGCTTTGTGGTGGTGTTGGTTGGGGATGTCTCCAACAAGCAGGAAGTTGGTTCTTTTCCTCCTGTTTTTGTCCCCTTGGCTGCTGATTTCCTCTGGGAAGAAAGCTGTGCATTCTGCAGTAAAGGAAAAAAAGCTATACGTAATGGGAAGGGATGAGGCTGCGAAAGCTGGAGGAAGGGAGCTGAAGGCGCTTTGAAACAAAGCATGGGCCGAGGAGGGAACACCGTGTTTTTGCTGTAGTAATGCTGATACGAAGACAATAAATGCAGGGTTAGAAGAGCTCACTTGGGGCTAATTGGGAAGCGGACCCTGGGAAGGAGAATCAGGTCTTTGCTCTGTGTGTGGAAATAGAAGAGCTGGAAAGCAACGTATCTCTGTGATGCAATGTTTGTGAGAGGAGGTGATAAGCTGTGTTAGATCAGTTGATACAGTTGGAGAGAAGAGGTGAGCTTTTAGGTGCTTCCTTCCTTCAAATTCTGATGAAAGGGCTTCAGAAGAGGCCCTGTGGCTTGTTTGCTGGTTGTCCCTCCAGTCTGTCGGTCGCAGCTATCCTCTTGCAGAATCTCCCCTCCTGCTGCTCTGCACAGAGATCCTCATTGCTACTGAGGTCTCTCCATGGCCAAAAGGGCTCTGCCATCCCTGTGCTGGGTGTGGGAGACCTGGTTCGGGCCAGGGAGAGGGGAGCAAGCTCTGCTGCTGTCCCTGAGCTCATTGTCCCGAGTTTCCTGCCAGTAGCAGCTCTGGTACAGCCGTGTGTCAGTGCTGTGCCCGCTGCAGCGTGTTCCCATGAAAGGAGGTTAATGCTGGGCAGTGTAAAAGCAACTCCCACAAAACTCGTTCTGCTTTGGGACTTCCCATGACAGGCCTTTTTTTTTTTTTTTTTTTTTAAAAGCAATCCACTTGGAGGAGCTCTGCCTACAAACTGGCTTTTCAGGTTCTGGGGAAAGCCGTGGCCCAGGGCTGAGCTACACCTCTGCTCTGTGCGGGGTGGGCCTCAGCCCAGCTGTGGGCTGGAGCTCGGGCTTCCCAGGTCGGCCCTGGGGGTGATGCCCCATGGAGGGGAGCAGCCCCTGTCGCTGGGTCTGGCCGACTGCATGTTGCACTTCTGCAGTGGGGACTGAAAGCTCTGCAGCTGAGAGCTGAGCGCGAGGCAGGAATAGGAATTCCTTTTGGGATCATCAGTCCTGTTCCTCTGGAATCCAGCCCCAGAGAGTAGCCAGCAAGTCCCAGCATGTTGCCCTGAGCCAGGCAGGGTCTGCTGAGTGTAGCATGATAGGACAGTTTATTTCGGGCACGGAGCCCGCATGCTTAGATATAAATAGTAAAGATTTTATTCCATTCAATGTATTGGATCTTTCTGCAGTGTGAGCACATAGCCCAGTTAGTGCAGAATGTCTGAGACGGGCAGCATGAGCAGGAGTCCTGGGTTGTTTTCCTTTCCTATTCAGTGCACCCAACGACAGGGCTGGCAGAGCACCCTGTGTGCTGCTGGGGCTGCTGCCTATGGGTGAGATGGGCTGGACATTTCTGTGTCTTCATCTCCAGAACTTTTAACCTGTCTTCCATAATCCTTGTGGCTTCTACCTTTCTTCCGTAGTTCTTTGTGGAGGCTTTGGCATCGTGTGGAGACTGTACACCCTTTGTGGAGGTTCCACCCTTACTTGTGACCAAACACAATGCTTATTAATGCCCGCAGCCACCTGCCTGTCACCATCGTATGGCCCGTTTCAGTAGAAGGACTTAAAACTTGAGGATGGATTCCTTCTTTTTTTTCTTTTTTCTCTGAGCTCAGATGTGGATTAGGTTCTTTTCAGCTGAAGAGGTGCCAGACCCTTTGTGTAACTTTGTCATCATCTGGTTGGAATGAAGCAGACAGGAACTGTGCAGATCTGGCACTGTTACCGTAAGGTTGCCTCCCTGCTGCTGGGTATATACTTGTTGTTTTAGGTAACCCATGGAATGTGTGCATTGCCTGCCAGCTCACAGAGCTGTGTTGCATCCTCTTTAGCTACAACTTGCGTTGTGGGGGCTGCAACCTGGATTTAATGGCAATTACTGTGTGTGGCTCATGGGTAAAATGTCCTGGTGCGCCTGGGAAGTAGAACTATAGATTGAATGGATGTTACGACTTATTGCTCAGTCTGTTAGTGTCCAGTAACTCCTCTCACAGGTCAGCACCCGCCATGCAAGTGACAGAAGAGTGTTCAGGAAGGATGTTCCCAGCCTTGGCAGCAGTCAGACACCCAGGGACGAGGGAAGCAAGAGGCGAGATTTCACCTTGGAAGTGAGTGGATTTATCAGGCACCATTTCCCATGGTTGTGTTCCTGTGTCCCTGAAGAGCCCTGAACAGATTCGATGTGTGGCTCACAACTTGCTCTGAGATGCAGAACCCCTCACTCAGCACAGGGAGGGCAGGGCAGGGTTTGCCTTGTCTGTCAGCCCTCCCTCTGGTTGCAGGCAGTGCCATCGGGAAGGGCTGGGGCAGCTCTAACAGTGAGACAGTAGCTGGTGGAGTTGGTGCACGGTGTGTCGGTGTTGAGGTTACGTGTTGTCATGTCCTGTTAGCTGAACTTTAGGGGCTTTTTGGTTCTGCTCATTTGGCTGCTGACTAGGACTAGTGGGAGCCCGCTTAAGATCACATCCCTGATGCTTCAATACTTGCAGCAATCCATGCTGCTCTAGGAATGAGGAAGTGGTTTTAAAAAAATGAACAAAAAAACCCCCACAAAAAATACAAAAAAACCCCCAAGTGTCGAGATGATACCACAAAGAACAAATGGGTGGAAGAGTTTTTTCACCAAACTCTGGTCAAATCCTTATGAATAACAAACAGTGGCTGTTTGCTGCATGGTGAAAGCAGAGTTTATTCTTTGTATCAACCTCAGCTGTTGAGTCCCCAAATGTTATGTAGTGCAAGTTTATTGGTTGTGTGCTCTGTTTGCAGTAGGGACAGTAAATGCCAAATTGACATAAGGCTTGCGTGTGCTGAAATTTCCTTTGGGCTTGTTCTTCAGCTCTACAGATGCACCGTGTGTTTCAAACTTTGTTGAAGCTATTTTGTGCGTGCTGCAGAAACGTTGGACCTACTGCACTACAGACCTGAGCAGTACATGAGGGCACTCTGAGGTTCTGGGGCTTAGTAATCAGCAGCTCTAAAACAGTGATCATTGAAGAAATTTAACTTCTTTGTGATCTCAGCAGTGTGTTGCAAAAGTCTTCCCAGGGGAGAAGAGATCGGACGGCATGCCTGATCATGCCTTTTCTGGGTAGCCTACCTCGCTGCCTCCTCCCCTTCCTGTTTCCACTTCGCTGCAAGGCAGCCCCTTGCTCTGCCGGTCAGCAGCAGTGTCTGCTTGGAAGGTTTTCCTTTTAATCTGGATGAGATCATCCTGAAGCTGCACAAGATGCTGCTTTTACTGTTCTGCAGGTCTGGCGCTCACTCAGCTTTAACTTCGTGCAGGTTGTAGCAGCTTGAATTTTAATATCTTGGGGACTCAGATGTCTGGGGTTGGTGAAGACAGCTTCCATGTTTCAGGTGTTGTTGCCCCGTAGCAATTGGCAGATGGGAGATATGTTTCTCCCTCACCTGAATGCAAGATCAGTACTTTAAAGTGAGCTGCAGAAGACAGCTGGCTCTGAACTGCTTTGCCAAAAGGTGTGAGCATGCCTTCCCTTTCACTGGCTGCCCTGGGACTGGAAGCTCAGAGGGAGCAGTGAGGCAGGACTGCCTTTCACTCAGGCTGGACATTACATTGTAAAAATGTTTCACTGTTTTTCTTCTTTCTGAAACAAAGTTAGAATGTTGATCATTTTTCTTCACGTTGTGAGTTGGAGCATGGGGCACGCATGAATTTACATGAACGCGCACCTGCAGAGCAAGACGAGCTCTTCTCACAGCTGCTTTCCCCTTAGACAAGGAAAGAGAAGATGGGTGGCCAGCTATTGAGCCCTAGCAAGAGTAGAAATTAGAGCAACAAGAGCATCTCCTTTTGCAAGAGGAGCAGTCCTCGCTGCTGTGGCATTGCTGGTGTGTGTGGCCTTACTCTTTTAGTTGTACTTAGAGGAACAACTCCTGTCAGATGTGTGATGCTGAGTGAGGATGCACTGCATTTCAAAGGAACGTGTAAAAAAATGGCTCAAATGCTGCTGCTTCCATCCCTCCTGAATACACAATGTCTTCTAGTGGCTTCTGTGTTTGTTATTTCCTCTAAGAATTTTTTTTAGATTGCCATTCACCGTGGATCTATGTAACTTTCCATAGGAAATGTTGTCATTCATCTGCGGCAGTTTTGATCTCATTTGCCAGCGAGATATTTTTATTTAGTGCAACAAATTGTGATTCTTAGCTGCTTTTAATACTGAAGTTGGTGCATGGGCAGCAGCTATTCCAAAAGCAGCCAGAGCCAGCAGTCTCTCTGCCTTGAAATTCATTCTGGTGCCTTGTTCTTAGCTTTCCTTGTGTTCTGAATTGCAGTTCTTGTAATGAATGTGCAGGCTGCTAGAAAATCAAAGTTACAAATGCAAAATTCCAATGAAAAAGGATACCTTTTTTAAAACACAGAGGTAGGATTTTGTTGTTGTTGTTGTCTTTTACTTTCTAATGTGGGATTATGGCTGTGCTGACAAAACCATTTTTGAACCTTACCTTAGCACATCATCGAGGCAGTGCTCATGGTGCCAGTTGGTGAGCCCTGCTGCGCGTCCCTTGTGCTACTAATGCAAACCAGTGCCGTGTCTTCTGGAGTCCCAGTGAGCTTTTGCAGTGAGTTAAATATGTACTAAAATAGTTTCTGTGGTTACTCTTTCCTGCTTCTTTGTTTTGGTGAGCTCCAGTGACGCCGAAGAACACAGTCCCAGGAGCCTGCTGTGCTGCTGCTGGGGAACCCAGGGCTCTACTGCCTCAGCCTAGGCACCTTTGGGAAGGCTGCAAGAACAAGGCTTGTTTAGGTGAACCTTCTTCTGCGTGATCTTCCAGTGTTGGCAGTCAGTTATTTATAATTGGATTTGTTAATACTTGGGTTGTTCATGTGATTATGCTGTTATCCAGTCTGGCTGCACGCAGTGTGGCACTGGACCAGCAGCAGTGTGATATCCTGTGCAAGCATACGGAGATGTGTCAGCTGCCTGGGGGCTGGTGGTGGATCTAGGTAAAAGCCAGCTCCGCTTGGAGGATCAGGCAGTGGTCATTCACCAGGGGAGGGAGGCGCTGCTCAGCTGCAGTGCTCAGTGTGCTGTTGCTGGAGCTGTGAGGCAGTCTTGCTATCAGCCCTTGCCCAGGTGCAGCCCATAAGCGGCGTGCTCTGAGCGAGGCATGAGGATGTGGCAGCAGGAACGTGGCTATCACATACCGTGCCATGCAAAGCTGCAGGGTGTGTTCATGGAGAAACACAAACAGGATGAAGACACCAGAGTGCTCCAGAAAGCTTCCTGCTGCTCCCTCCTCTGTGTTGGTTGTGTTTTATGCCTGCTGCTCCCCTTGCTGGTTTCAGGGAAGGCTGTGGATGGCTCTCTGTTGGGTTTACTTTCAGAGTTGGAGCTGGGTGCCTGCTGCTCACTATCTGGACTATGTCTGGGCTCGGGGGCACATGCTGCATAGTGCCATGAGTGTCATTCTGTCATCTGGGACACACATGCTGTAGGAGAAAGGGAAAGGTGGTGCTTCTGCCCAGTCTGCTGTACTTGGCTGCTCTCGCTGGTGCTGCTGGCCTTTGGTTAACAGGGGAAGTTTGGAAGCTCTTCTGTGGAAGCTCTCCATGTGTGAGGCTTGGCTGTCAGCTCTGGAGAAGTCTGTGAAGTTGTTTTCCTGTCCAGCGACTCCAGCAAAAATTCACTCTGCCTCTGGTGAAACAGTAGTACTTAATTCCTGCCGCACTCAGCACCTGCACTGAGAAAATAATTTAGGCCTCAAGAGATGCAGAACCTACCACCTCCCCCTTGTGATCACTGCTAGCTTCCCACAGTGCTGCAAATGTGAGTTTTGGGCCATGTTTTCACAATCACTTCAAACCGTGCTGCCTGGAGAAGCGATTCCATCATCTGGCTGCAGCTGCTCCTGCTGCTTCCCCTCTCCTTGCACTGCCACAAGTGTTCGTGGAGCCACGGGGTGACTTGGAGCAGGGAAGGAGCCTGGGCTGGAACAAACCAATTTCTTTGCCAAGTGATAGGGGTTGTTTTCTGCACCAGGCAGCTGCAGGGGTGGCTGTGCCAGCACAAGAAGGGCACAGCACAGCACCTGGTGACACTGCTGCTGTTGGCTCGCTTCTCCTAGTGGCTGTGGTGTCTTCAGAGCTGGAATTTTAGTGTTTACTTCTGTGTACTGACTCCTGCTCTGCCTTTTGTCTGCTGGAACTAAAGGACCTGGAAGATGAGAGCCTGCTGCCTTGGGAATGTTAGCAGATTGCAGCTGGAGTCATCTTCTAACCTGTTTATGGAGAAGTGCAGCTACAGATCCAGGAGGCACTAGCAGAAATCAGGAGAGCTTTTTGAGCTTTTTTCACCTCTTCCATATGAGGGCATCAGACCTGCGTGCCCCTCATGTCCTACGCAGAGCTCCTTTGGAAGCCCATAGGAGCACATTTTTAGTTGGTTTCCATCGTGATCCCCGTCTTCTGAAAATCAGGGAAAGGAGTTGCTCAGAGGGACCTCAGATCTGCTTTCATGGCCATGGGATTGGCTCACAGCCATTTGCACCGCACTGGTAGACGTTCTTACAGCCTGTGTTTAAGACCCTCTGGCTCTGTGTAGCTGAACTTCTCCAAGATCCCTGGTTCGCAGGTGAAGCTTTGCACTCCTTGCATCTCTTGCATACTGGTATCAGCCTGCAGGGCTTTGCATGAAATCCAAAACCTTCTTTTTTTTTTCCCCTTCTTTTTTTTTCTAATGCAGCTTCGTATTTCCTGTCTATGGGTCTGCCTGGTGTCTTCCAAGACAGGAAGTTTCCACTGGTATTTCTCAGCTAATTACATTAAGTGGTTCGAAGTGAGATCCCTCAGTGCTGGCTTGGTTGCTTGTGTAGCCACAGAAATTAAAGAACCATGACTTCTGCATTCAGCCTGCCTTGCCGATTCTCTCTGCAGCATCTCAGTAGCAGCGCTTGTGCTCTTTGCACAGTCCGCTTTTAGAGCCATCTGCTGAAGCATATACCTTTTGTTTGAGCTCCTGCCATTGCCTCTGGATAGTGCTCTGAGCTGGGGTGAGGTGGGGCAGGCTGTCCTCCTGCTCTCAGGGTTTGACATCAGCACGAGTTGTCCCTTGCTTTATGTCCCACGATTGCAGATGCCTCCTGGTCCCTGGTTGTTCTGTAGGCTTTGTTGTTAGCTTGTCCCCACAGCATCTCAGGATAAATTCACCTGTTTTTCTGACCCCCGGAGGGCATTTGTCAGAGCTACCAGTGGGTCAGTGCATAGTGACAGCATATGTTTCTGGGAGGGATATGGTGTGTGGTTCCATTGGAGCCTATGTGAAAGCTGTTTTAGACGGGAGGTGTTTTGGGAGGCAGGTGACAAAGACTCACGCTTGGTTTGGTGTTTCAGCTAAGCTGATATCACGGTGAGCCATCACTGAACAGGCAGGTCCTACCCTTCCTGTCTCAGGTTGCTCAGAGCTTATCTGCAATTCTGAGCCTCTTTGCAATGTCAGATCAACAAGAAGTAATTTACTTTTGGGTACGGTTAGTTTTGTGCTGGTGGAACACCTTGAGGCTCACCAGGGTAAATCTGCCCTTGGGCAGCAGCTCTGTGAAGCCTCGCAACATCTCCGAGCTCACTGGTGAGGAAAGCAGGAGAGATCCGCACCAGGACAGGGTTGATGCTCTTGCTTTATTTCCAAGGGGGTTTCTTAGTGTGGGATATAATGCAGGTCTCAGCCAAAGCCTGGGTGGTGCTGGTTCCTCAACAGCTTTCCCCTGGCACACAGAGCCTGCTTTGCCTTCTCCATCCCTGCCTGCCCTCAGCCCTCCATCTGGCTTGTTTTAAAGGTCTGGCTTGCGCCTGGTGTTTGAGATAATCCTTGTAACTAGTTGGGTCTGATCCATGCTAGCTGATGTTATTGGCAGCACTGAGGCTGACACCCTGCTGCTCCGCTTCTCCTCGCACTCCCTGCCTTCCCCCTGCTAGCTGGGCCCACAACAATTCTGCTGCCTCCCTGGCTTCTGTCTGGAGAGCACATCAAGGATCCTAACTTCTTTGCTGCCGTTCTGCTCAGAAGCTTGCTGCTTGCAGCCAGGACAGTGAATGTGCCAGCACTGCCAGCAGTGCAGGAAGGTATAGAGCCCTTCTGCCTCCCCCCAGCTGTTTCTGACAATCCCCGAGCTTCTGTCCTACCCAGTGTGGTATCCCAATGTGTGTGCAAAGAGGATGGTAGGAAGGGCCTGGAACAGATCTATACAGCCAGGATTGGAGTGGAGAAGAGGGACAGGGAAAAACTATTTACTCGTCTGGCCCAAGAACTGAGGCATCAAGTGAACGCAGGAAGTATCGGGTTTAAAGACAAGCTGAGGAGGACAGCTCATCGCACAGCATGTGTTTCTGCTCTGCCACAGGCAGTTAAGGGTTCTAAAAGGCTGCGATCAAAGATTGCATTGGTTTCTAAAGGGAGTTTGATAGGTTCTGGAAGGAAAATCATTGGATGGATATAAAGATGAAAACAGAATGGTTAAATGCAAAGATGTCTCTGGCACAAGAAGTCCCTGAGTTATTCATAGCTCATGTAGTGGCTGTCCAGGGAGACATGACTGTCAAGTGATCCTGTGCTCTGTACTGATTGCCAGGCATCCTCTGGTAATGAGATACTGGGTTTAGGCAGACACTTGGCCTGACCTTGCATGGCTATAAGGTGCATGATCTTATCCTGCTGCTTTCAGCGGTCTCTTGAAAATACTGATTAGGGCAGTACTGAGAGTAGAGATTGTTTGAGGATATGTGACCATTCAAATGAAATATGTGTCAGTGCAGTCAGCTTTGAAATCAAGCCTATTGGTCTGATTAAGTACATGGATACTGTATCCTGGAACATCTCTTCAAAATAGTCATGGGGTCATTGTGAAACTCAGTGTTTCGTTGCCTGGTACTGAGGTATTTGCTTGCTTTGTTGCTCTTTTAGGTGATGCTTGGGCAAGGGGCAAGTGTGGGCACCGGCAAGTCCCTTTCAGAAGTGCACACGAGCAGGCAGGAGCCCTCCTAATATCCTTGCTATCTGTATCACGTAGGAAGTTGGAACAGATGCTTTTAGGCACCTCTGCAGCTATAAATGGAGCAAAGTAAGGAATTGTGACCTTTTGTTGTGAGGCGTTGCATCTGTGCATGCAGGATGGTGGTGTGTGTACAAAGAGTATGTCTGTACAGGCCGGATCATGAATTCCCAGACTTTTGGGGGCCTGTGGTATTTGCTGAAACCCAAACCTTCATCCACCTACAGCTGAGTCGTCCCTTCCCCTCGTTCCAGCTCAGCTGAGCCCTGCTCTCCTGGCAGCCAGCCCAGCCTGTGTGACTCTGCTAGCAGCTGGTCGTCACCCGCTTTTAGATGAGATTCTCCTCTTCTAACCCAGTCCAGCTCACTCTCCTCTCCCTTTTGTTGACCTGCTCCCCCCTCCACCATGTACTGTTTGCACTGGTAAACCTCACTGCTTGTGTGGCTCCCTTTCCAGAGCAGTTGGGGTGAGCTGTGGGGATTGGTAGAAGTGCCACAGATGGCAGGCAGCATTGGAGAACCAGAACCTAATTTAGCCTGGAAGGGCCCCTTGCAGGCTGTCTGGTCTGTGTGCTGCGCTGCTCAGGGCCTTGTCTAGCTGAGTGCTGGATGTCTCTGAGGACAGATGGAGGTCTCACTGCCTCTCTGGCCATGCCCATGCTCAAGGAAGAATTCCCACCTTACATTTTAGATTTGTTGTGCATTCAGAATAAATTGTGTCAACGTTTTAACAGTGCTGAGCTTTCTTCTGTTCCCTCTCAAATCGTGCGTACCTGCGAAGTTACCGGGATGCTCGTCCCATCGGTTTGTTTTGGGGAGAGGATAAGGCTGACACCCTGCTGGGTTCTGTCTCCTGTGGGATCTGTGGTCTGGGACAGCACAAGGAAGCTGGGAAGGAATTGGATCTGTCGGCCCACTCAGCACATGTGCTTCCCGCTGCGAGCCTGCTATTGTGCATGTGCTAGGAGAGGAAGAAAGAAATACGTGCTTGTGGAGTAGCTTAGAAGGCGCTTATGGAGGTCTGTGATCTCATTCCTCCAGTGACATCAGTTTTCCTAACCATTTCTATTAGCATGTGCAGCAAAGTCATTACCCTCAGAGCCTGGAGAAGTTGCTCAGTCTCTGTCTCGTTGCATGCTGGAGAAAGCAGAGAGGTTGCAGAGTGAGCAAGGAGTCCCTCTGGTTGCTTTGGTGTTTCTGTAACTCAGCTTTATTTAAATACCATATCATCATTATTTATGTATGAAAACCACTCTTAGAAAACTGGCATTAATGCTGAACTGATGTTCATGCTGCACTTGCATTGCTGTGTGTGCTATGCTGTATTTCTGGAAAATGATTACATTTAAAGGAGATTAGAAGAAGCAGTTATAAGTGGCCACTTGCTAATTCCCAAATAGCAGTTAGTAGGGAAATGGTGCTGCTTGGCTTTGGGTAGGCAAGGGAGCCTGTGTGAGTCACAGGCTGTTTTTAGAGAGAGGTCAGCAGCTTTTAGCACTGCAGTTACTTAGCTGGTTGGACTGGCTCCAGATCTAATTAAGATATAATTATGAGTATTTCTTCTGGAATCTGGATTTCACAGTAGTCCCAGAAAATCTTAATGGGGAGTAACTCTGAAACTTGTAGCTGTGATCTTTGGCACTTGGTGTGATGTCCCCCAGCCTCAGAAACACTGCATGAGCTCTGATTGCTGAACCCTCTCCAACACTTGGAAGTTGTCCCATGCGAGGCTCGGGTCTGTGAATGGCAGCCGGGAGGTCGGCCCGGCCCTACAGCATGGGCTGCATCAGGGATGTGTCCGACCCTTCCTCACATGTGATCTTCCCCCTCTCCTAGGCCTGAAGACAAACGTGGGACGATGTCGGAGGCACGGCATGACAGCACGAGTAGTTTACAGCGCAAGAAGCCGCCGTGGTTAAAATTGGACATCCCGGTGCCAGTGCCTGTGCCGGTGCCAGAAGAGCCAGTGCAGGTATGGGGATTGCGGTCATGCAGGGGATGTGCAGAGCCCTGCTGTGCTGACAGCGTGCCTCTGTGTGGTCACTGGCAGCCCTGGCCAAGAGAAAGGCAGTGCTGTGTGTGCCAGGTCACTGGGATCGGTAACGGGCTGCCCCTTGAATGGGATATTGAGGGAAGGTGAGTGTGTTTCACTTTAGATCAGTGGATGTGGCCGTTTGGGTGCGAGGACTGTAGGGGGTAGATGTGAGAGTGAGGTATCTAAACAGGAATTCCTTCAAGGAACTGAAGAAGTGAAGGGCTTCTAGAGGAATACCAACCTGAAAGTGCTGGAGTTTCTGCTGAAATGAGCAGGGAATTAATCTGACTTATGACTAGCCAAGATAATGACAGGCTGTCATCAGCAACAGCAAAGAAAGAACAGTTACTGGCAACACAAAGTTGTTAATAGCACGAGTGCAAGAAATTCACATATGAGGAGAAATAAGTGTTACTGAAGAGTGGTGGAGTAGAGATGAAGTGATAGTTTATTTGGGACTTCGCAAAGCATGAGTAGAACACCCATGTTTCTGCTGGGAATAGGAGGAATAACAGGAATCTCTGCTTCAGAGTGGCAAAAACTCTTACATGTGGGTGAGATGACTGCTGGCTGCTCATGACCTTTCTGCAGGGTAATAGGCTGCCTACACCAAAAGCAGGTCTGTGAGTGGAGTGTGGTGTCTGGGTTCACAGAAATGGAAGGTTTTGCATCTTCCCTGGGGGGGTGTGCTTGTCTTAAAATGGCATTTGTGTTCTTGGAAAAGCATGGACTGGCCTCTGCTGTTCTTTGATCCAAGGACTAAAGTGGACTTCTGGCAGGTACACCTTCATCTTGATCTTCTGAAACCTTCATCTTGACCTTCCTTCGGAAGGAAAGAGATTTGGTTCTTTTTGCAAGGATTAGAAGAGAACACAGGGTTTTAACTACGTAGGTTGAAGCCTTCTGAATTGGTTAAGGCTTACATGGATGTTCTTTTACCTGAAATCTCTAAATCCAGCTAGGCTTCTGGAGAGGCACTACGTACACACAACAGTGGAAGTTGGCATAGGTAATGTTTTCTGAAAGCACAGTGTGTGGGAGTGCATGCAGGCTCCCATGGCTTAAATTCTGAGTGTCTAGGCATTGTTTTAACATAAAAACTTAAAAAAAAAAAAAAAAAAAGAAAAAAAGAAAAAAAGAAAAAAAGGATAAAAATTACTGAAAGTTTTTATCTGTCTGGCTGGAAGGACTAGAGTTTCAAGCAATTAGAGATAGTGTCTGACCAGAGAAGCAGTCTGTTCACTGGCAAGTGAAGCAGAGGGGTAATCTGCTCAGTCTGTGTTTTAGAAAGGGGGTGGTATCTGCCAAGCTAATGACAAATTCATGCAGAACAGCCTTGAGGGCAGTTAGTAGGATGGGCTGAGAGCAGTCTGGTGATTTGTGTCAGGTTTGGCAGGTGACATTCAGCCAGGAGATGCTAGGAGCTTTCAGACCTGAGTGCATCCAGACAATTAGGTTATGAACAAAGCTGATGTGGCTTTCCCAGCTTGCTTGGCCTGTGCCAGGCAGCAACTGCAGCACAGACCCACCCACAACTCTCGTAGTCTTTGAGTGCAGATGCAGAGCTATTTATAAAGCTAATTTCACTTGGCCCTGCTTGGTGTGCTTTACTTTACATTATGCAGTGGCCTAGGAGCTTGTGATCTCTGTTCCTTCTGGCTAGAAAAAAAGCCAGAAGGATGCAGGAACTCCTGTAACACACCCATCTGCAGATGGACATCAGTCTGTGGGCTAGGCTAGAGCCAGTCTGCACTGAAACTATAAAAAAAAAAGCCTCTTCAGATGCCAAGTTCAAGTGCTGACTGCTCTGTTCTGCAGATCCAGTCCTGTTTCTTCACATTAGCCAGTCATTAACTCAGTCCTTGTTAGGCTGCATGCGCCCAGCTTGTGGCTTGGGCTGGGGGCAGAGGGGGATTGTTGTGCTGCTGACTGAGTGGTTCACACCCTGGCTGGCCCTGTAGATCGTAGTTCTAATATTGCTGACTCCCCTTCTGCTTTCCTTTCCAGCCAACAAGACGCCAGGCCTTTCTACGAAGTGTGAGCATGCCTGCTGACAACAGCCGCGTGCCCTCCTTGCCTCATGAAGTGAGGAGACCGGTGCTACAACGACAAACCTCAATCACCCAGACCATCAAGAGGTGAGCTGCTGAGCTCCTGGAGCCTGGTTTAGTGGATTCTGTCATCCGTTGCCGTCCTTTTTTCATGGTCTTCTCGTTCTCCCATGGCCTGGCACTTTAAGGCATGCTGTCAAAATAGGATTGAGTTGTCTCCCTTGTTGCCTGTCATGAGGTTGAGGTAGAGGGTAGGTGCAGATAGGATCTCAATATATGAGCCTGATGGTGCTGTGTAGCTTGCCTTCAATAAGTGAGGAGCAAAGTCCTGACAGAAAAATAGTGCTGATCAGAACAGTGAATGGTTCTTGCTGATCAGAGATAAGTTTTGATTGCCCTTGTGCCTGAAGAAGCTGGCTGTTTCAGGGCCTGATGTGTAGCTAGCAACATATGATGCTGTATCCACCAGGATCCCCAGGACTTTTCTCCCAAGCTCCTTTCCAGCTAGGTGCCCCCAGCACGTGTTGGTATCTGGGGATGTTCCTCTCCAGGTGCAGGGCTTTGCACTTCTCCTTGTTGTCCTTCATGAGTTTCCTCCCAGTCCATTTTTTTCATCCTGTCAGGGTCCCTCCGGATCGGACCATGACCCTGGGGAGTATCCACCACTCCACAGGTTTGTGTCATCTGCAGACATGCTGAGGGTACACTGTCCTGTTGTCCAGATCATTAATGAAGTTATTAAATGGGATAGAACCCACGACTAACCCTTGGAATACACTGCTAGTCACTGGCTTCCAGCTAGACTTAGTGCCACTGCTCACCACACTCTGGGCAAAGTCATTCAAACATTTATTTATCCACCTTATTGCCTATTCATGCCCTCAACGTGGACTGAAATCAGGCCTCTGCGAGTCTTTGTGCCAGGACAGTTAGACAAGAGCCTGTTAAGGTTGACAGGATATCCTGGGAGAATGCTGTAGGGGCCTTGATAAGAAGCACTGTATGGAAGGGCCAGAGCAGCCTTCTCCCCATAAGTCCTTACAGACAGGGCATATGGAGCTACAGTGAGCAAAAGAGGGCTGGACAGTGATGGTGAAGCTCCTGGATACCAAGGGAGATGCCAGTGTCCTACTTAGCATCAAGCACATGTGGCTGGTGCTCTGACAGACACGTGTCATGTCCTCCATGCCTGTATGCAATGGCAGTGTTGGGGACCAGCTGGTGGCAGCATCCGTGCCTGTGCCTAAAGGTCGGGGTAGCAGTTTTGTAATCCTGAGTGCAGGGGGTTGATGCCATTCTGCAGTGCAGAGTTTTCTCACGCAGGCTGTTGTACAGCATGAAGAGCAGCCAAGACTCTGTCCAGGAGGAATTGCAGCTTGTACATGGTTTTTGCAGTGCACTGTGGAATGCAGGTAGGAAGGCAGGCGCAGCAGTGGGAAAGACTGCGTGAGAGGCAGAATTACAGGAAATGTGTGAGACGTGGAACTAGCAGTAAAAGCGTGAAATAAATGGATCAGGAGCAAAGACAGGGAATTGGAAAGTACTGAGGATAGCCTAAAAACCAGTGCTGTGAACAGCAGAGGTAGGTGTGCAGTAAAGAACTGCAGACCATATATCCATAAGGGTGTCATTGGGATTTATTTTGTGAGTCCAGGGAGGCTGTCTTCCGGGTTTGTTGCTTAATGCAGCTCCTGTTAAACACAGAATGTGAAACTGTTCTAGCAGCAGGACTCCATCCCTTCCTTTTCATGGGGCTTGCAGGACACGGATCAAGTATGTGCCTAAAGTCAACTGCGTGTGGTCCAGAACATAGGGCCATAGGAGTGATTCAACTGCTTGAGTGTTGGCCTCTAACACTGTTTCTGGTGTCCTACAGTGTCCAAGGTGTCCAGACAAGGCAGCAGATGCAGCACAGATCCTTGTGCCTGAGGTGAGACCCTGCCAGGGTCACCCAGAATGGCTCCAGGACACTGAGTGGCATCAAACACCTGTATCCAAAGAGATCATATCTCAGCTTGCTGACACCTCTGGTGTTTCACTCTGTGCTGTCCAAAGCCATCTTGTGAGATCTGCAGTTGTATGTCTGGGCTGAAGAAGGCGGATTAAAGAGGTCTGGGGGTGGAAGGGGATTGAAGCATCCGTGGTGTCATCAAGACCAATGGGAGATGTACATCAGAGTGCAGATGCACCGATGGGATTCAGCAGCCTCCTGGATCCTGCTGTCACGTGCATTGTGGCACAATTGCTGCTGATTGGGGTTGAATAAAGAGGTGGGGAAATGTTAGGCATAGGTTGCTGCCTGCCTCCACAGCCCAGCGGGCTCTTTCCGTTCAGCTTTCTTTTCTTTGCAGCAGACAGGTACGGTTTCAAAGGAGTCAGACCCTGCCTGTTCAGGGGAACCGGGTGGGCAGGAGTTCCCTGAGAAAGCGGCAGTCCCTGCCCCGATCGTTTTTCAGGTACTGGTAGAACTAAGTGTGCAACCCACCCTGCATGTGTGTGCAAGGGCTATTGTGAACTGCACCGATTCTGGCTGTTGCTGAGACCACGTTGCCTTCCAAGGCCTGACCAGGAGGCCTGCAAATGGATGGGAGTGAGAAAATTCCCGTGTGCATCTAACAGAAAACAATGGTCACTCCTACTAAATATCTAGGCAGATGTCAATAAATAGCATGGGACTAACAAACTGCCCACTCTCCAGCCTCACTTCTTTCTGTTTTTCCTAACAAGCTGACAATCTCCTGGTGTTCACCATAACTGCAGAATTGCTCTGGGGCAGCCGCCGTGCAGCCTGTCCTTGCTAGCTTTAATGCAACATGTGAAATATGCGTATCTTGGTCCCAAAGCCTTCTTGGAGCAGAAGAGGAAAGAGAGAAAATTGCACCAAACAGATTGGTTTGAATGAAGCTCAGAGTTGGTGAATTCAGTATAGCATCCACCCTTTTCCTGTCGACATCATGCATTTTCTAATCCTAGCGTGACTGGCTTCTCTTTGAGGTGGAGATCTTTGTTTACGTAGCACTGAAGAGATGTGCCCTGGACTCCTGGAGTAGCTCAACAGCCCATCAACCGCTACCCCCAGACTAAAACTCAGTGAACTTTTGAATGAGACAGACGTGGTGACTTTGTGTTTATCAGGGACTGGACCCAATGCCCAGATGTTCCTTCCCGTCCTACCTTCCTCATCACTACCGTTGCCAGGTGCCACTTTGATGCTGTGTTTGCATTTACAACTGCTGGTCTTTGGGCTTTAGCTTTCAGGGCTGCTTACCTTAAATTGATAGAAGAACCTGCCCTTGTACTGATTAATTGCTTGCTAGTTCTGCAGGATCTGTAGCAGTTGATGGGGCTCCCTGGCTGGAAATCCCTGGCTCTCACTGTTTCTCCAGACTGCTTCAAATGCTCTAAACTCAGTTTATAAGGTTCTCCTGGACTGTCTTGTACACGATCAGAGAATGGGACAGGTCCCTATCCTAGCCCTGGGCCAGCAGTGGTAGCTGGCAGTTTGGGAGTGATACTTGCTGTGCAGAGCAGCTGTGGCAGTGCTTGTCCTTCCACACTAATGGGAATGCAGTTCCACGGAGCTCTGAAGCACAGCTCTTTGCACAGTGGTCATCAGCAGGCTAATAGTGGCCCTGTGTATAGGCTTGTCACCCAGGGTCACCTTGGTGTCCAAATATTGGTTATGAAAGTTGGAAGTTGTGTTACAAGAATGTTTTGTGATGTGTGTTGTGCCTGTGCTTCTGCACAGCTGGTGCATTGTGCCTGTCTGTAGACTTGGTTCAGGAGTTGCAGGACAGTCTCTGACCCCAGGCCTGTCTGCTCTGAGCTGGGACAAAGACTGCTGTGGGTCAGTGACAGCAGAGCAGTGCTTTGAGACCTGCACAGCCCCTTCTCTGAGGGATGGCACCCAGTGGCTAGCTGAAGAGTTCTGGAAAGGTTTGGCTCAGCGAGGGCAGATAAGGCTGGCAGTGGCTCACTTGATTTTGTGCCTGCTGGAGGGCCTGTTCTGGGTCGCTGGGAGAATAACAGTGCTTTTGGCAATGGTTGGTGGTTTGCATCTGCAAGTGTGAGCTGGAAAGCCTGCTTTGAATTCGCATCTTTTTACATAGTGGCAGGATGTCCTCAGTTGCTGGTTGATGATATGTATCTTTGTTCTGCAGGGTGCAGTAAGTAAAGCACTGGATTTAGTTTCCTGTCTCTGGTGCTCTGACTCAGTTCAGCAGTGTGACCTAGTTCTAGATGTAACCCTCTTTTTATGTTAGTGTATGTTTTGATACTCACTTTGTGATTTGTGAGGTCTTCCTTCTCAGCAACTGGAAATCCTACCTGTAAGCAGTGGCCTGAGGTGAGATTTTTGGGTTTGGCTTGGAAGGGTTTTCAGGTTTCAACACCTGGGCCAGCTGTGTGCTGATGCAACTCGCCATCTTCTAGTGCAGGATTAGCCACAGTGGGAGAGGGCTGGCAGGGCTGTGACAATCTTTAGCTTCTCCTGAAGTATTTGAAGACTGTTACTCTAACTTACACCTATTCCTCTGCCTTCCTTAGTGTTTTGCTTCTGACCCAATGCTCTTCCACAACAGCAGCCACTTGGCAGCAAACCTGCTTTGTGGCTGCAGCCCTGTGCTCCTGCTTCTGCCACCAGCAGCTCAGAGCTGTGTGTGCCTGCTTCAGGAGAGGGCAGGACCACAGCAAGCATTTGCCATTGATGTTACTTGTGAGCAGGATGGGAATCCTGCAGCATGAGATGGATGAATTTGGGGATTTTCTGGGAGTATGGTGGGAGGCTGGGAGAGAATAATGAATTCTACTGGCCATTGGGAAAAGCTACAGAGAACAACTGCAGCCCCACAATGGGGACCTATAGCTGGCCTGAAGACGGTAAGTGTTTTCTGTGAGTGTCTTTTAGAGGGGAAAAAAAAAACATTTCACAAGTTCTCTGAATTTCTGTTCTGTCTCCTCTTTTTTCTTTCTAGAAAAAGTCAGAATCAACTGTTCTTTACTTACACTGAAGTTGTTGTTGTCTTAAGAGGGAAAAGAGTGCTGTTGATGGTTAAACATTTCTGACCAAGACCTGTCAGGTTGCTGAAACTGGCTGAGGACAGGCTGTGAGATGCTCGTGGGGGGAAATTCTGCCTACATTTGGATTGGGGTTGGCTGGAAGTGACTATTGTGGGTTTTATCTTTTCATTTGCATAATCCGAGTGAACGTGATGCTCCTGCTTTACCTATATGCTGGCATTTTTCAGAGGCACAGCTGACTGGTTTGGAGTAAGCAAAGACAGTGATGCTACACAGAAATGGCAGAGAAAGAGCCTGCGCCACTGCAGCCTGCGGTATGGGAAGCTGAAACCTCAGGTCATCCGGGAAATGGACTTGCCCAGTCAGGACAATATTTCTCTAACAAGCACAGAAACCCCCCCTCCGCTGTATGTTGGGCCCTGCCAGCTGGGCATGCAGAAGGTGAGTACCCTGGGACAGTCAAGGTTATCATGAGCTTCCTGCACAGTGTCTTCACCATTTTTAACCCATTTGTGGGCTTAATTCTGCCTGAATGTGTCTTGTCCAATGGGTTACAGTCAGTGGCTCAATGTGGTGTCTCTTGAGTCTGGGACTGGTACTACCTACTATTTTAATCAGTGACATAGATAGTGGGGTTAAGTGCAACCCCTGCAAGTTTGCAGATGACCCTAAGCAGGGCAGTAAAGTTGATAGAAGGATGCCATCCAGAGGGACCTTGACAGGTTTGAGGAGTCGTCTCATGTGAATTTCATGAGGTCCAGCAAGGCCGAATACAAGGTGCTGTACCTGAGCTGGGGCACTCCTCTGTGTAAATACAGACTGGGTGATGAATGGGCTGAGAGCAGTACTGCAAAGAAGGACTTTGGGGTACTGGTGAATGAAAAGCTCATGTAAGCCAGTAGTGCGTGCTTGCAGTCCAAAACACCAACTGTATTTTCAGCATCAAAATAAATGTGACCAGCAGAGCAAGAGAGGTCCACTCTGCTCCACTCTTCTGATAACCACCTGAGTACTGCAACCAGTTCTGTGGCTCCCAGCACGAGACAGATGGGGACTTGCTAGAGAGGGTCGAGAGGATGCCACAGAAATGTTCAGAGGGCTGAAGCAGCTCTCCTACAAAAACTGTCTCAAAGGCTCAGAGAGTTGTGGTTGTTTGGCCTGGAGAAGAAAAGGCTCCAGGTAAACCTTTTTGCTGCCTTTCAACACTGAGAGGGGGCTTGTAAGAAGGACAGAGAAAGTCATTACTGGAATCTGTAGTGACACAGGATTTGTACTGACAGAACAAGGAGCAGTGGTTACAAACTGAAAACTTGATTATGTTATGGGGCTTGGAACAGCATATCTTGCATCAGCTGCACCACAGCTCTGCTCACGAGTCCTCAGAAATTGGTTTGGGTGCCTACAAAGGGTATCTGGTAGCCCTTCAAGTGCAGTCCTAGGGGGCCAGGAGCCTGTCAGTCACATTCGGTTACCAACACCTTAGAAGTAACCCATAATATTCTAGCAAAGGAAGGACTCCTTGCTCCACTCAGCACCTTAATCCATACAGTATTAGGGCATCAGTGAACACCACTGCAGTGTGGGCAAGTGTGAGATGAATTCCTTCCAAACCAAGTTGATCTGTGACCCAAAGCCTGGCTGCGTTCCTGAAACAGGAGAATATTGTGTCTTTCAATCCAGTCTCACCTTGTTGAACGCTTTGGTCACAGGATACTGAGAAATGTTGTTGGGCTCTATGTAGACTACATTCAGTCAGAACTTGGTTTCAGTAGGTGTAACTCCATAAAGCTTCCTATTGAGTGTGCAACTGTGGATTAAAAAAGGCTCATAAAACATTAGGATAAAGTACAGAAGTCATAAAGAAACCACAGCTGTGATGATGTAAGGACAGAGGAAGGGTTTGTAGCTGAAGGCAGTGTTTTCATTAGGTTGATTCGTGTGTTTGGCAGCTTTGGTCTGAAGAGTCCCAGAGAAGGGCTTGTAGCTCCTGGAAGCTTGCCTGCTTTATCCAGCTGTTAGGATTAGCAGAAACAGATGTAAATATACAGTTGAGCTCCACCAGGATACTGCTTAAATCCAGAGCTGTACACCAACAGAAAGGAAACTAGCTCTTCAAAGAGCCTAGCTCTGTTGAGGGATTTCTCCAAGTCGTGGTCAGATATCACGTTCTCTGACTGCAGACTTCTCTGTCACAGGAGATGAATGAATCCAAGAGCTTAGAAAGGGCTGAAGGAGCTTTGAAGCTGTCATTTGAACATCAGAAATGTTCAGGATGAAAGTAATCAATACCAACTAAAACCCCCCAAAACAACGACAAACAAAATAAACGAGGAGGACTTTGAGGACTTGAGCTTGGGACTCGAAAGTTATTTCCTATCTCCCTAATGTAGAATTGATTGGTGTTTTTTTCGGCCTGGTTCTTGGCTGGCCACTGTCCTGGTCTCAAGAGGAGATGATGGAGGCTTGAAAGGAGGAGAGCTTGGTAGGCCAATGTTGGGGGGTGGCTGTACTTATGGATGGGCTTCTTCTCCGGCAGATCATAGACCCTTTGGCCCGCGGCCGAGCTTTCCGAATGGCTGACGACAGTGATGGCTACAGCATCCCCCACACCCCCATCACGCCGGGTGCCACGTCACTCTGCTCCTTCACCAGCTCACGCTCGGGCTTCAATCGCCTCCCGCGACGGCGGAAACGGGAATCTGTTGCCAAAATGAGTTTCCGAGCAGCTGCGGCTCTGGTGAAGGTATTGTATGTGGGAGGGCAGGGATCAGGGTGGCAGCAGGATGCGGCCCTGCCCTGGAAGAGGAGTGGGAGGGAAGGAGCTGTCTTTTGTAGGAAAAAGCACTTTCTGTGAGTAGAAAAAGTGAAGGAGAGCAGTGGTGGAAGAGAAGAAACCAGGACAGGTCCTCTCTTATTTCAGCTGCTTTGTCTACCAGACAGGATGTGCAAGAAGCAAGGATGCTGGCTGGTTTGTGGCGTAGGTCTTGCTTGCTGTTTATCAGCTGTGGGGCTTTGATTCCCACAGGCAGCAGCCTTAGAAGATTCCAGCAGGTCTGGTTAAGCTGGGACCTCTGGGTGGTCTGTCTGCACCTCTCATGGCAGAGTAGCAGTGCCTGAGCCTCTTGCTATGCAAGGCTCTTTTCTGGGTCTCGTAGGGGTCATGTATGAGTGACCTTTTTGCTCTGTGACTGCTGTTCAGCCATTGTGCAATGTGTGGTAGCATGTTGCAAGCTTTCATGGGAGATGTGGATCAAGAAGTGGGGTAGCACCAGGATTTATCACCTGGAAGGTGCTGCACATCAGTAGGACTGTTGAGTTTGATGGGTCAGTGTGACAGGGTCAGCACATGGGCTCCCTGTGTGCAGCCCAGGGTGACACTGCATGGGCCTGGGGCTGGGGTGTCTGGCAGCGACTTGATGCCACCTTGTCTGTCTGCAGGGTCGCTCTGTGAAGGACAGCACACTGAGGAGAGCTCAGCGGCGCAGCTTCACCCCAGCAAGTTTCATGGAGGAGGATACAGTGGATTTTCCAGATGAGCTCGACACTTCTTTCTTTGCTCGGGTGAGGGGCAGGGCAGTGGCATGGTACTGGCTCCAGAGACTTTGCAAGACTGCAGTTCTGGCAGGGCTGTGTGCTGCAGTGTGGTGCTGGTGTCTCAAATGTGATGCCTCCTCCTTCTGATGGGACTTCTGTGTCTTTGCCCAGGAAGGAGTCCTTCATGAGGAGCTCTCTACTTACCCGGATGAGGTGTTTGAGTCGCCATCAGAAGCTGCGGTCAAAGATACTGAAGTGAAACCTTTAGACCAGACGGATCTCACAGGAGGTGCCTTGGACAAAAATGAGCTTGAAAGAAGCCACTTGCTACTGTAAGTATTTTCTTGTAAGGTGCCAAAGCTTAACACGGGATGGTGGCCTGTCCATTCAGAGTGGAATCTTTGGTGCTGGGCAGCTGTTGGGGCAAGACCATTGCTCCTTCATGAGGGAAGTTGGGATCTTAGTGCCATGGGTGTTTGGAACAGAGATCAAAGAGCAGAGCAGTGATGGGATTTCTGTAAGCCCTGCATGCTTCTCTTGATGTTTTGGATGAGAGTCCTCCTGCCCCAGCAACCCCTGAAAGGTGGCTCTGAGGCCACCTCTCCAGCAGCTTCCTGATGTGATGTGCTTTTGAGGCTGTATGGTGGCTTGGGGAAACAGAAGACACTTTAAGTCAGCTGTGAAGATGCTGGAGGCGCAGTCTTCAGCTGTGGAGAATACAACAAAGGTAAGAAGGCTGTTGCCGTTCCCAGTCACCAGGAACTGTTGAGAAGAGTGGAGTGAAGCATTGCTGAGTGTCAAGCTGAGCTACATTCCTCACTTGAAACCAGAGAAAGGTGTGGCACTGATGCTGAAAGCCCTGCAAATATGTGGGTGGTACTGTACTGTATGCCTAGATTTTTTCCACCTGAGTAACTGGTACTGAGTAATTGCTCGGTGTCGTTTCCGAGTTAGCTCTGACTTAGCTGGCAGCTCACCCCAGCAGAGAGCAGTGCTGGGTGTGAACATGTAGCAGACAGGGAGGTCCTTGTTGTGGTTCTGCTGCTCGCAGCCCATCTTGCTGTGTTGGAGTTTTCCCTTCAAGTGTTTCCAAGAACTTGACTCAGTCTTAACAAAAGTGGAAGCAGCAAATGGTGGGAGCTTGTTGTCTCTCCACTGAGATGGTCTCAGTCTTTTTGGCTCCATTTGGATTTTCTCAAATCTACATTCCTTTCCCACTTAGAGAACTGCAATCAGAATTGCAGTCAGTTGTCCTTTTAGGTGGCCAGGTGTTTGTTTTGGCATAGGCTGATAGTCCAACATGAAAATACTGGGATGTCCATTACACAAAAATCACTTGAACCTCATCCTGTTGCTTGTCCGTACTTCAAGGCTCTCTTAACTTCACCAAGGCACTCTGGTTACCTTTCAAAAAAAAATACGGTTTCTGTGACCACTTTTGACAACCCCTGTCTTTGTGCGGAGTTGGTCACCCAGGAAGCCACAGGAGGTTTCTGTTAAGTAGAGACCTGCCGAGGACACGTGCCTACCACAGTTCCAGGCAGTGGGAAAGGGGGAAATAACAGGCAGTTCTCAGTGCTGTGTACCTTGCTTGTGGACTGCTTGTTAAGAGCAGTGAAATAAAAAAAACACCTGAAGATGCCCAGAGCAGGTTCTGTTCATCAGCAGCTTGTGTTTTCATTTGTTTCATTTTGTTTTCATTCATTTCATACTCTATTTTGGTAAGAAGGCATTCTGCTGGACAGGGATTTTTATTGTGTTGTTGGAGCCTGGTTTTGTTCTTCTCCTGAGAAATTCATGCATCAGTGCAAATAAAGGGACGAGTGGAAGACAAGTTGAGAGAAGTAACTGGCTTGGGTTTAGTTCCTGCTCTTCTCTGAGTGGTTTAACGAGCATGAGGGTTTGACTTGTCAGTCTAATCACGGTAAAGTGCTTCAAGGTTGGGATTTCCACTGTGGGGCTAAACTGCACTTCCATTTCGTGGGAGAGAATGGAGTGAGGGGAATGAAGCAGAGGAAGAAATAGATGTGTATGAGTGTTAGCTGCCTAATAAGTCACATGAACCTGGGTTGCTGAGGGTATAGCACATGGCTTCCATTTCTCTCCGTTCATTTTGGATCAGAAAAGAATTAAGGCTAAGGTTGAGGTTGTTAGAGGTGGTCACAACCACAGGATGCCATTCTTGTTCTCTGCTGCAGTGTCGATGCTGGGAGGCTGGAAGTCGTGTCTTCCCAGAATGAGATGCTCAGTGACACCCAGCCGCAGTCTCCCCATTTTAATCCATTGCTGACAAAAACATTCTAAAGAAGGAAACCACCGTTGTTCCACTTTTTATTCCAGTCCACTGGAGCGAGGCTGGAGGAAACAGAAGGACGGGGGCCTGGCACAACCCAAAGTCCGATTGCGGCAGGAGGTGGTGAGCGTCAGCCCGCAGAAGCGCGGGCAGCGCATCGCCGTGCCGGTCAGGAAGCTTTTCGCCAAGGAGAAGCGGCCGTACGGCCTGGGGATGGTGGGGAAGCTGACAAACCGCACCTACCGCAAGCGCATCGACAGCTATGTGAAGCGGCAGATTGAGGACATGGACGATCACAGGTGAGAGCTGAATCGTGGCTGGGGTTCCAGTAAAACACCGGGCACTGGGAGCACGGCCTGCTCCTCCTGCTGGGCATCTGCGCCTCTTCCCCACCGCTGCTGTCTTGTGATGAACAGGAAGGCTCAGGTATTCTTGCTTCTGATTGTTTCCATAAACTCAGTATTTCAGATGCGTGACGCATTTTGGCATTAGGTTTTTGTATTCATGGATGCTTTTCTTAGCAAAAAGTGGTTTGCCCAGTGTTTAGGGGAGTCAGTAAACAGAGGCTGTCTGCTGGCAAGATTCTTGCCTCCAGTCATGTATACCCCAGGTGATCTTGGTCCTGTCCCCAGAGTCTGCCAGGGTTCCTAGGGAAAGGAAGCAGCTTTTCTCCTTGCTCTGTGAGTAGATGTAACACAAAGTGCTACAAGATGCAGTTCAGTAGCTTAGTGGGTAGTAATGGTGATAGGACTATTTATTACTAGTTGGACTAGATGATTTTGTAGGTCCTTTCCAACCTTGTGATTCTATGATTCTGTGCCTGGATTTCTGCCTCTGATCTTTTCCCTTTCCCTCCATCCAGGCCCTTCTTCACATACTGGGTCACCTTTGTGCATTCGCTCATCACCATCCTTGCTGTGTGCATCTATGGCATTGCCCCTGTGGGGTTCTCACAACATGAAACTGTTGATTCAGTAAGTAAATCACCCTGACTTGCCTGACTTGGAGTGTGATTGTGTCAAAGCTCTCAGTGCAATGGCCACTGAGGGCCACACCAGGTACCCAGGGCCTGCCTGAGCCCACGTGCTTCCTGCTTTCCCTCCTGCAGTCACATTGCTCTTGACATTGAGCTCTATCAGGTACAAAGCACAGTGGGCTCCTGGCAGGTTCTGGTTGCAAATATGCTGGGAGTCCTTTTTAGCAACTTGTTCCCCTCCTGGTGGTGACCAGAAAGGTGTTCATGGTAGGGAAATATTTCAAACCTCAGTTAATTTTTGTAACAGCTGCAAGATTTTGCTTCTGCCAGGAGCAAAATGGACTTGTCTGACTTTGTGAGCTGATCTTGAAGCTACCTGTAGGCCTTCCCACTTGTCAAAGGTCTCTCTGAGGTGCATATCTCTGTAGCACCATATTCCTGCTCCAAGCAGAGGATGCCAAGGTTACTTCTCACCTACAAGTCTGATGGCTTTCACAACACTGTCACCAGCATCTGGACCTGTGTTGCTGACAGCTGCTGCTTGTGTGCTGCTTGCTACGCTGTGTGAAGCTTTATACAGGATTTCAGCCACCCTGGGAGAATGTGAAGTAGCCAGGTGGACATCTTCAGAGGAGTCATTAAATAAAGATGCCCAGACCTGCCCTCCTACAAAAGACCAGTTTGAGAGAGCTGTGTAGCCAGTCACCTGCTGTGGGGATTTCTGCTCCTTCTGGGAGCTGTTTTCATCAGTCCCTGCCACTTGCTCATGGTAACTCTCACTTCCTCTCCTTGCAGGTTTTGCGAAACAGAGGGGTTTATGAAAATGTCAAATATGTTCAGCAGGAAAACTTCTGGATCGGCCCCAGTTCAGTGAGTGTTATCATCTGGGGCTGGCAGGGGGCAACGTGCAGCAGCCAGATCTCCCCAGGGACCTCGGCCCTCCACTGCTTGGGACCTGGTGCTAGCAGCTCTCATCAGCTGGGCTTCTCACAGGGCTCTGCTGTCCTTGGCAGGGTGCAGCAGTGCTCCTGCCCCAACTGCCCTGCAGAATGGTTTGCTGGGAGCTGGGGATGAGCCTTGGCACTCCTTCCTGCACATATTTCTATGAAGCCAAGTGTGAGGCCAGAGAAAATGCAGAAATTATGTGGAGCATGACAGCTTTCGTGATGCTGTTTTCCCCAGGAAAGTCTGTAATGTCTCAGAGCTTCCTTCCTCACCACAGAACAGGCCTTTCTGGGGCCTGCAAATTCTGGATTCTTGTTTTGAGCTCGCTTATTTGAGGCAAATACTGAGAATATGCCTGATGTGTTTTGAACATCATCATGCAGGACATGTCTCTGGCCGTGCTGGGGGTACCCCTTGCTGTTCTTCCCAGCCTGTTCTGCCCTGGGCAGTCCTTGTGTACACCTTGACTGAGGTGAGCTTCTCCATCTCTCTCCCAGGAGGCCTTGATCCACCTGGGGGCCAAGTTCTCACCGTGCATGAGGCAGGACCAGCAAGTGCACAGCTTCATTAAGGCCAAGCGTGAGAAGGAGAAGCACTCAGCATGCTGTGTACGAAATGACAAGTCCGGTTGCGTGCAGACTTCGGAGGAGGAGTGCTCAGTGAGTGTGGTGTTCCCTTTCCTGCTGTTACTGCAGGCTCAGAGACACTTCTCTTGATGCTTTCTCCTGCCCTGGGATTCACAGTGACACCTCTCCTCTCCCTTCTCTTGCAGTCCACCCTGGCTGTGTGGGTGAAGTGGCCCCACCACTCCAGCACACCAATGCTGGCAGGAAGCAAGAGGCAGTTTGGGTCTGTTTGTCATCAGGACCCCAGGTATGTTCTGCCTAGCCCACCTGCCATCCTAGGGACACCAGGGCTGCTGGGACTGTCAAGTCAGAGGCACGGGGTCCCAGGCCACTTCACTGCAGTGTGTGTGTAGTGATGTCCTTACCTGCCTTTGTGGTGGCAGGGGAGCTGAGGCAGATTTTTCTGGGAGCCTCCCAGATCACAAACTTATTTGTGTTCCTGAAGTCTCTGCTGTTGGCTGCCCATGTGCACAGTGGTTTGTTCTCAGCTGCAGGTTCTTTTTCTGTCCTTCTGCTCTTTACCTGCTCGCTTTGCTCCCTGCATGGGTCACTTTCCCATGGGATAGCAGCTATGTTCCCAGCACAGCTCTCCTGCAAAGCCCTGGCAGCCACCTTTGCCCTTAGTCACCACAGGCTGAGAGAGGGCTGAAACCATCTGCAGGTCCGTGTTTGGAGTTCCATTATGTCGTTGAGCAGCTGTGTGCTCCTTGTCAGCTGAAGCTGTGATCTCTGGTTGCAGGAAGTAAGCACTAGCTTTGATCAGCACAGCCTTGACTACCCTGAAGTAGTGTGCCACCAGCTCCTTGCCAGGGACAGAGGGGACCTATGGGAGCGTAGCCTGGGAGCAGGGACAGCGTGGTAGCTAGGAAAAGTCATTTCTCTAGGTGATCTTTGCTTCTTGTTGCTGCAGGGTGTGTGAGCAGCCAGCCTCGATGGAGCCACACGAGTGGCCAGACGACATCACCAAATGGCCGGTGAGCATTGCTGGTGGCACAGGGCCTGTGCTGGAAAATGGCATTTCCAACCCACTGCAGAGTTGCAGCAGTGTTGGTGGAAAGGGGTCTTCAGTGCAGCTTCCTGAAACCTTCCAACAACAGAAATTCCCACTGCACCAGATAAAGCCATAAGCCCTGCCAGGGTGATAGGATGATGGATACTTACTCCATCTAGGGGCTGTTTTAGTTGCTTGAGAGGGAGGAGGGATTGGTTTGGGCTCCAGCAGCCCAGGCAGATGGGGTATCAGAAGAAACCCTTGGGAGGCTGTGTCTGGGACTGCCTTCCTCCCAAGTGACTGTTCTGACCTTACCCAGGCAGCAAGCCAAACCATGGATCTCTGACTGCAGTCTGTTGTCATTTTCCAGATCTGCACAAAAAACAGTGCTGGGAATTACACAAACCACCTTCACATGGACTGCGTGATTACAGGCAGGCCCTGCTGCATTGGGACCAAAGGAAGGTAAGGAGTTTAATCTGTGTGGCGAGGGGCTGGGCATTGGGGTAAGAAATGGAGGGCTGTTTTAAGGTTGTAGGCACAGCCATTTGTCCTCCGTGTTCTTCCTGCATGCAGCCCAGAGCAGTGCTGGGGAGGGGAGCCTGGCAGGGAGCCCTGATGTGTTTCCCAGGCAGAGCAGGGCTCTGGTTGAGTTTGATGTGTCAGGGTATCTCGTTCAACTGATCCTGCAGTTTAATGGGATTCGGAGCCCTGGGGATTAAAGTATCTCTTGGGGAATTCAGTGCTTTTCCTTGGAATGACCAGCTTGTTCCTAACAGGCTACACTGACCCCAGCCTGGCTTCTGTGTGCATTCCAAGAGGAAATGATCTGATCTGGGTTTGCCAAGGAGGATGCTGTTCTTCATGCTGCTCCTCAGCTCGAGTTACTTGGTGCTTGGGCCAGGCTTCCCCTGCCAGGAAGAAAAATCAGTGCTGCTGTCCCTGAAAGTCATGGCAGGACACGGCTTAGCCCTACTTTCTGCTCTGTCAGTGTCTGAGGCACAGGGCTCTCCAAGCCCAGAGCCATAAATTCCCCAAGCTCCATTGTTTCATTCTCAGCTGTAAATAGCTCAGTTTTATTACTTGTTTTGGAACCTTTGTTGCAGAGGTGCTGTAGCATGTCGAGGGCATCAGTTCTCATAGACAAACTTAGGGGCCAGGGAGGGCACAGGATAATCTGCCATGTCTTCCATGTGTGACCTGTTCCTTCATTTGATTGCTGTGCCTCTTCCAGGTGTGAAATAACTTCCCGAGAGTATTGTGAATTTATGCGGGGCTACTTCCATGAGGAGGCAACACTTTGCTCTCAGGTAAGGGCAGAGTAGTGGTTTGTAAGGCCACCCTTCTCACTTCTGTTCACCTATCTGCAGCAGTGTGAGTGGGAGTGTTGAGTCCCAGAGGAAGTTGCTGATGCAGGATGTAGTGACAAAATCTGCATCTCTCCTTGGGAGACCAGTTTAGAACTTGGGGTTGGCAGCCACAAAAGTCCAGCATGGGACCACTGTGGAAGCAGCAGGTGTCTGCAACCTTCCTGCTCCGTGGGTGAGCAAACGTTGTCCATGTGTTGGGTGGTGAATAAGGGCATAATGCTGCCGTAAGTAATGGGTGGGGACACATGAAGTGGTGCTGCAGGCAAGGGCTGGATAGCAGATAAGTGAATGGAGAACCATTTTTCCAAGCTAGATGCAGCCTCTGCTGTGGCTGTGATAATTGGCTGTGCCCTGTGGTGTTGGCTGGCACAGCCCACAGCCCCATTTTGCTGCCCTAGGTTCACTGCATGGATGATGTCTGTGGACTCCTCCCTTTCCTAAATCCAGAAGTCCCTGACCAGTTCTACCGTCTCTGGCTCTCACTTTTCCTACATGCTGGGTAAGTGTAGGTACAAAGCTTCCAGTGTCTGGGAGGGAACTGGGGGGTTGTATGAGGGTGGTTCTAGCAGTTTCTGTCCTCAGGACACCACTGTGGGGATGAACTGTTGTCCCTGCTGAGGCTTACCAGGCTGAATTTGCTGGGAGGGATATTAGACGCATGGGGCTGCGCCAGGTGCTTTCAGCAACTCAAAGAAGACAGCAGAGAAGACAGACAAGCCCACTGTGGGGAATTTGGTGGATGCTGCTTCAGCTCCTGTACTCTGAACTTGGCAGGATCCTGCACTGTCTGGTCTCAGTCTGTTTCCAAATGACGATCCTGCGGGACCTAGAGAAGCTGGCAGGATGGCATCGCATCTCTATCATCTACCTGCTCAGTGGCATCACTGGGAACCTTGCCAGTGCAATATTTCTACCCTACAGAGCAGAGGTGGGTCTCCTACACACTAGGGTCCTGGCAGCTTCAATACAAGCCCCTGCATGCTGTGCCTATCTGGCAGAAAAATCAGAGCTGCACTTATCTTTGTATTGTGCAGATTTGTAGTTAGCAGTCAACACCACACCATCATCTAGCTGCTGAGCAGTAACATCCCCCAGAGCACGCTAGTTGGCTTTCCAGGTGACTGACCCATTCTGGCTGCAGCCCAAGGGCTGCCTCACAGCATGAGATGGGGGAGATTCCAGCCACACGCAGGCTGGGAATTCAGGTCTATAGCTGGGGTCAGTCCCTTCACATGCAGGCAGAAGGTGAGAGCAAAGCTTGCCATTCCCACACTGTCCCTGCCCACATTGCACAGCTGGAGAAGCCCAATGTGCCCGCCCAGCTTTACCTTAGAAGACTGCATGGCAGGACCTAGAGGACCACCTTCCAGATCCTTCAGTAAGGAAAAGTGTGATGGGTGAAGGGACCAAGGAGATTGCCTCTAAGGACCTCTACCCTCTAGTAGTTCAAACCAGATTCATCCTCTTTAAATAGAACATCTGCTCTGGTGAGCTCACATCTACACTGATCCTCATGTCAGACCAGGCCTTCGATGTCATTATCAGGATGAAGTCTCAGGCTGCAGCATCTCTTTCTCAAGTAATGCTGAACAGGGAGCTGAAATAACCCTGACGGAGCTGGTTGCAGAAGCCAGGCAGATGGGGTGTGCCTGATGTTACCTGTGATGTTCTTCTTCTGCAGGTTGGCCCTGCAGGATCCCAGTTTGGGATTCTGGCTTGTCTCTTTGTGGAGCTCTTCCAGAGTTGGCAAATCCTGGCACGGCCCTGGAGGGCTTTCTTCAAGTTGCTGGCTGTGGTGCTCTTTCTTTTTGCCTTCGGCCTCCTGCCTTGGATTGATAATTTTGCTCACATTTCAGGATTCATCAGTGGTTTCTTCCTCTCCTTTGCCTTCCTGCCCTACATTAGCTTTGGGAAGTTCGATTTGTATAGGAAGCGATGCCAAATTATTGTTTTCCAGCTCATCTTCATTGCACTCTTCTCAGGACTTGTGATTCTATTCTATTTCTACCCCATCAAGTGCGAGTGGTGCGAGTTCCTCACCTGTATACCATTCACGGACAAATTCTGCGAGAAATACGACCTGGATGCACAGCTTCACTGAAAGCAAAGACTGGCTTCTCGAGCAGGCACTGGAGATGGACTGTCTTTGCATTTGCTGTGCTAGTTCCACGAGGACAAAGCTTCTAATCCAGTGACACTTCTAACCAGGGCTGTGGTTAATTTAAACCGTCTCTAGCACTCGGCAGGCGTGGTTTGCCTTATCTCAGAAGACTCTGAACAGAATGTTGGTGCCTTGTTCAATTGTATTGAACCTCTTCTGCTGCCATTATTTTTATTATACTAGTTTCAATACTACATTTTTAACTAGAGTTATTTACTACTGCTAAGGTGGTGATTAAATGGAAAGGTAGCGTTTTAGCTACTGCTAATTGTTTTGCATAGTCTGTGGCTACGTTTGTTACTTTATGTCACCCATGCTGTTCCATGCACCGATAGAATCAGTATTCTAGCACCCAAAGTAGCCCGACACATTCACAGCTGGAAGTAAGAGCTTTAAAAGCCTCAGAAAATGAGTCTCTTTAATTACAAAAAGCACATTCTGCATACAGCTCAAAGGCAGACATTTTGAACAGCAAAAACATGTAAGAGTATCTGTTCAACTGGAGTTTGCTTCTCTGTGAAATCTTTCAAACTCTTCCTCTTGGAGAGCACTGAATCCCTTATCTGATCCTGGCAGGAAGGCATTCTCTGTTCTGCCTGTTAAAGAAAAAGAAATATTTGGGAACAGCAGTGCTAACTGCATACTGGGCTCTCGTATCACTGCAGGGGATCATCCAGGGCTCCATGGGGTAAAGCAGAGCTCTGCTGTCACAGCACGTCATATTGCACTAGGTGCTGCAAATATGATAGCACTGAAAGAGAATGAAAGCCTCTGTGGTCACAGTGACAGTTTCTAACCCAGCTAGCTGGAGCCAAGGAACAGAACATCGAGAATGCAGGCAGTTACCACTGATTGTGGTGAGGGAGACAGTTTTAAACCTACCGAGGTTGGGAGTCTTGGCCATTGTATGTTTGTACTAGAATTATGATGTCTACATGGACTGCACACAGGCAAATATATATGCTACTAATGCTTCCTGCGCTACAAGTTTTCTTCAGTGCATCAGCTGCACAAAATTACCATGACCAAAAGTCATTACCACTACAAAAGTCAGCTAGAGGTATTATCCCACCTTCTGGAAACAGCAAATCAGCTGAACTCATTGCTGTAAACCAGAAAAAAAAGAAAAACTAAACAAAAAGCTACAGGGTACAGAAGCAGAGGTGCCTTTGGTAACTCCTTACAGCTTGCAGTAACTGAGAAAGATGGCTCAGAATACACCCAGTGAGGAACAGCAACCTTTGCTGGTTGCATTTGCTTGCATACAGCGATGGGACACTTCAGGTGCTCTGAATGGTACAGGAGTGTGAAGAGCAAAGAGGGAGAACAGTCACTTGGGTACAGTGAGACAGAGACATACAGGAGGATCAAATGAATTGCACGATGGCAATCAATCAGTGCTAGCACAGAGACCTGTTCTTCCTGGGCACTGGACTTCCAGAGTTCTATGAAGCCTAAAACGCAGGTCCAAGAAGCAATTAAAAGGGCAAAGAGAAGAACACTGCATTTAATGAATCTCAGGACGCTGTGGGAACAAATTCAGAGCCTAAAATGCATAGTAGGGGTAGGGATGCACCACTGCTAGCACCAAGGTACTGCTGCTGCTCCCGGTGTGGTTTGAACCACAGTTCCCTGCCCAGAGAGGAGCACAAGCAACAATGAGGATGAGGACATGGGGAAGAACCAGACTGGAGCCCAGCAGAGACACAGAAATGCTCACAGAGCTGCTCTGTGCTATCAGCCGGAGTGCTGTGGCTCTGGGAAGGCAAAGCTGAAGGAACAAGTATTCCTAACGGGTATTCAGGACTTACCTGACAGGTCACTTTCGGAGTTTCTTGATGAAGCTGACCTCATCCCGGTTCCTGATGCCATACCTGAACAGAGTTGTGCCGTTAAAGCCAGTTCTCCTCTAACCACAAACTGCAGTCCTACAGCTCCAGTTCCCAGGGCTGGATGGACTCCTAGTGTGCTCCACTCCCAAACAGGTGCAGCTCTCACACGTGCAAGCAGAACACGGTCTGCTACTCTGCCTTTGTAAACACACAGCAGAGAGGCTGTGCGTGCCCTGTCCATCCCTGGAGGTGTTCAGGGCCAGGTTGGATGGGGCTCTGGGCAGCCTGGCCTGGTATTGAATGTGCAGGTTGGTGGCCCTACATGCGGCAGGGAGGTTGGAGATTCATGATCCTTGAGGTCCCTCCCAACGCAGTCCCATTCTGTGACTCTGTCATAAGGCAGTGCTGCCTCGCTATGGGCTCTCCCTCCTGCTAAGCCATATCCCTTCAGACAAGCTCCTCTTGCAGCTCTGCACAACGGCTGCTGGCATGCATTGATGCCTCCTGCCTTCAGTACAGACACGGGGCTCAAAGCAGCCTCAGTCCCACCAAGTGCTCTCAGTTCCCGGGAGGCGGCCGGCCGTGCTTCACGTGCTCACTGCCGAGCCCACCGTGCGCTCAGCTCCTACCGGCCAACCCTCAGCACCGCCCCGAGCTGCAGCTAACGGGGCACGGCACGGAAACCCCCCCCGGCGGCCGTTTACTCACTCTCTCAGCTTCTTTCCGTCATCCGCCAGCTTCTCCCCGTTGTAAGTCAGGTGGTACGTCCTCCAGATGTACTTCCTGCGGGAAAACGGCGGTGGGAGCGGGGCTGTGTAGAGCCGGGGCTGCAGAGCCGCGCCGTGCCGCTCACCAGCTGAGATGCTGCACACCGCCACGCCGCGCTTGCCGGAGCTGCACGTGCCGCCGCAGCGCCTTCTTTAGATCGAGCACCGTCGCGTTCTGCACCACCACCACAGCTGCGGGGAAAGATCCGCTCAGCGCCCGCGTTCCCGCAGCTCCCCGCCCCGTCCCCCGCCCCGCTCCGCTCACGCATGCTCTCGCCGTCCGCCTTGCACACTCGCACCGTCATGGCCTGCCCGTACTCCAGCGCCACTTGAGAGCCGATCTCCTCCGGCGTCACCTGCGGGCGGCACCGCGGGGCTGAGCTGCGCCGAGCCGCCTCCGAACCCCAACCCCAACCGCCACCCCGACCTGCGGCGGGAGGTCGCAGAGCAGCGGGTCCTGCACGAGCCGCGCCAGCGCCGCCTGGAACAGCTCAAGCACATCGGCGTGCGCCAGCTCCTCCTCCGCCTCCGCCATCGCCGCCGGAAGAGGCGGATCCGACGATGTTGCTTTTCTGCCCGGCGTGCGGCAACGTGCTGGTGGCCGAGGAGGGGCCGCGCTGCCACCGCTTCGCCTGCACCACCTGTCCGTACGTGCGGAACGTCACGAGGAAGGTGCGCGGCAGCGGCGGGCGGGGTTGAGGAGGGGGCTTTGGGGGGGGGAATGAGGGAGGGGAGCTGATCGCTGTGCCCGCAGGTGAGCAGCAGGAAATACCCGCGGCTGAAGGAGGTGGACGATGTGCTGGGCGGAGCGGCGGCGTGGGAGAACGTGGATTCCACCGCAGGTACGGGCGGGAAGGGGTTGCGTGGATGGGGGAAGGGGGGGGGTGCGGATCTCAGCTCACCGCCTCTCCCCGCAGAGCCGTGCCCCAAGTGCGAGCATCCCCGCGCCTACTTCATGCAGATCCAGACGCGCTCGGCCGACGAACCCATGACCACGTTCTATAAGTGCTGCAACGCGCAGTGCGGGCACCGCTGGCGCGACTGACCACCCCCTACCCCCCCCCGGCTATCAATAAACGCAGCGCTGGAGCTGCACTGTGAGGTGCGGTGGTTCCGTGGATCTGTGCTTAACCTTTGTTCTCACCTCAAACGTGCGCAAAAGTATCAAAAAGAAAGGATAAAAAAGCTTCCTTAATCCCAGAATGGCCAGGGTTGGAAGGGACCTCAAGGATCATGAATCTCCAACCCCCTGCCACATGCAGGGCCACCAACCTCCACATTTTATTAAATGACCAGGCTGCCCAGGGCCCCATCCAACCTGGCCCTGAACACCTCCAGAGATGGACGGGGCATCACAGCCTCTCTGGGCAGCTGTTCCAGCCCCTCACCACTCTCTCTGTCAAGAACTTCCCTTGACATCCCACCTAAATCCTCCCTCCCTCAACTTCAAACCATTTTCCCTTGCCCTGCTGTTATCTCCCCTTCCAAAGAGTTGATTTTCCTTCCAAAGAGTTGATTCCCTAGAAGAAGAACTAGAACACAACACGAGAGAGCAACAAGTTACAGCATTTAATCCACGTTAGCGTCTAAGGGATAAATCAATTTAACAACATCCAGCTTTACCTCTTCTACACGTGGATAACCTGCACCCATTTGTTCCAGTTCACTGCAGTGGGGAACACCCCCCCCAGGCGCAGGGTGCAGTCCATGGTGGGCTCATAGTATGCTACAGAGGCCTCGCTCAGTTTGGGACTGTGCAGCTGCTCTGCTATAAGTGGCTGAGAGAAGAGGGACGCTGGGGGTGCCTTCTTCATGTGGAACCTTCTGATACAACCAAGAGCTTCCAGACCCTGTGGAGAGAAACTGCATTTCAGCTTAAGCATCTGCAAAACAAACCAACATAGGCCATGCACTGCTGTTTCACGTTCAGTGTTTTCAGGACCTATACTTCGGATTTTGAATTATATCAGGACCAAAAACCCAATACCAACAAGGTTTCACTGGGCAGTAGCAGTGGTGGTAATCAAACTCCCAGATGTGGAAGGAAAAAAAAAAGAACCTCAAAATTTCTCACCATCTATTGTGTTAAGGATGTATGCCTTCAAGTGGGTTTTTTCCTAAACAAAATAATCAGGGGCTGAAGCAGCCTGAGGTCACAGTGCTGCTTATTCACATACCTGCAGGATCTCCAGGACAGCAACGGGCTGCAGTGTCCCTGTGTAATGCTGCAGCAGCATGCTTTCTGTTATCCCTGGCTTTGTCATGATGTGATACAGCACAGCTTCCATCATTCCTTTACACACAGGTTTGTTCAGGTTCCCATCCACAATCCTCCACGGTCTGCCAATGAAGCAGACATTCTCACAGGCCCTGCAAAAGACGGTTTAAAATCAGCTCTGCCAGCTGCTAGATCCAACCATGCACCTGATGTACCCCATGTCCCTCACAGCCATGTGCCTCTTAAATACCCCCAGGGCTTGGGACTGCTGCTCTGGGCCTTGTTTCACCTCTTCATCTGCACTAACCCTATAATATCCTCCAGAAGTTGCCTAAGATTTAACTTCAATCTGCAACATGCAGCAACAGTGCTCAGACAGGAAACAATTCCTTATTTGTAACATTCTGGAAGGAAAGGATTGCCCTGCATGGCAATCCACACTTCTCATACTGCTGAGATTC